CTTTGACTACTTGGGTCTTTTATTTTTCCAAATGAATTTTATGATTGCTTTCTCTATTTCTATGAGTAATATCATTGGGATTTTGATTGGAATTGCATTAAATCTTTATAGTGCTTTTGGTACTGTGGTCATTTTGATAATATTAATTCTGCCTATCCAAGAACAAGGGAGATCTTTCCATCTTCTAAGGTCTTCTTTAATTTCTTTCTTTAGTGTTCTGTAGTTTTCATTTTAGAGGTCTTTCACCTCTTTTGTTGACTCCCAAGTTTTTTTTTTTTGAGGCTATTGAAAATGGGATAGTTTTCCTAGTTTCTTTTTCAGAGGATTTGTCACTGATGTACAGAAATTCCTTTGATATTTGGGTGTTGATTTTATATCCTTTTACTTTGCTGAATTTATTTATTAGTTCTAGACATTTTCTGGTAGAATTTTTGGGATCCTCTAGGTATATAATCAAGTCATCTGCAAATAGTGATAGTTTGAGTTCTTCTTTTGCTATACATATCCCTTTAAGTTCTTTTGTCTGTCTAATTGTTCTGGCAAAAGTTTCAAGAACCATGTTAAATAGAAGTGGTGAAAAAGGACATTCCTGTCTTGTTCCAGATTTTAGAGGGAATACTTTCAATTTTTCTCCATTTAGAATGATGAATCTGGAAAGCATTATGGAGATTCCTTGGAAAACCTGAAATGGAACCATTATTTGACCTAGCTATCCCACTCCTCTGTTTATACCCAAAGAACTTAGTGACATAGCCACATCAATGTTTATAGCAGCATAATTCACAATAGCTAAATTGTAGAACCAACCTAGATGCCTTTCAATACATGAATGGATAAAGAAACCGTGGTAAATATATACAGTGGAATATTACTCAGCATTAAAAGAGAATAAAATCATGGCATTTGCAGATAAATGGATGGAGCTGGAGAATATCATGCTAAGTGAAATAAGCCAATCCCCAAAAACCAAAGGCTAAAGTTTTCTCTGATATGTGGATGCTGATCCATAATAGGGGCCAGGGTCAGGAAAGGAGCATGGGAGGAATGGAGGAGCTCTGGATAGGGCAAAGGAAAGGGAGGAGAAGGGAGGGGACATGGGGATAGGAAAGATGGTGGAATCATCATTACCCTAGGTACATGTATGAAGACATGAATGGTGTGACTCTACTTTATATACAACCAGAGAAATGAAAAATTGTGCTCTATATGTGCACTCTGAGTTAAAATGCATTCTGCTATCATGTATAACAAATTAGAATAAATAAATAATTTTTTAAAAAGCTCTGTATTTTTCTCTGTCTCCTAGAGATTTCTGGAGAACCTATAGCCTCAGATACATTCTCTTAACTTTGCTAGTCAGCTACTTAAAAGCACATCCATGATAGCCAGTTGATTTAGAGACCTGAGTGAAATGGACCTTAATCATGTTTGTATAACCTGTAAGGAAGATGGAGTTTCCAGAGGCAGCTGTATCATGGCCTTTTCTGCCTTCTGGATTCAGTCATCCTCACTCCAGAACACCCTCTGGCTGATTTTTCTAACCATTAAGAAATGAGACATTCCTAAACTTTCCCTCATTGGGGGAGACAATCTACTTGGACTGATTTACTTATGTTCTGAAGTTCTAACTTTATTTTGGTTGCACACCACAACCACTGCTCACTACCTTAACCCCAAAATAATTTATTTAGCCTGTGGACAGCTTATTTAGTCTGTGCTCTGATGGGTGGTTTTTGGATTTCAGCTGGACTCACTAGGGTTTTGGCTGCCTGCTCCAACTTGATCCAAGACTACATAGGGCTCTCTTATCCAGATTGGACCCGAGTGCTCATTGTTGTGCTCCATATGTCTCAGGTCCTCCTCAGGCGACCAATGGGCTATCCCAGCATGATCTTCTCATGGAAGTGCCAGAGATACAAGAGATCAAGCAACATACATTAAAGCCTCTTGAGGCCTAGACTACAAGTGGTGTGCAGTCTCTTTTGCCTTATTTTTTTGGCTAAATTCAGTCATGAATCAGAACCTAATCCAGAGGTAAGGAACAGTGCAGGGAACAGGAGCAGATATGTTCTGATAGATACATGGCAAAAGATGCAGAAATATGAAGGTAGGAAGATCCGGGCCATGAACATAACTTTCTTCAGCTGTGAAGAATAACAGTGCAATATTTCCAATTTATAGTGGTGCCTCAAAGGAGAGAGCCATGAGTGTAACTTAGAGGAAGGGGGGAAAATTTCATAGAGGCATAACATTGGAACTGTTTCATAAAGGTGACTTGGAGTTTGCCAAGTGGACAAAGATGAGTAAAAGGAACAATAATTAAAATGGAATTAACAGTCAAAGTAGAGATGCAGAAGGCATTTAAGGAGTAAAGAGTTGTCCTGTGTGCTTAAGTCATTGGAAATAATCCTTCTCCACTGTCTGAGTTTTGCTCTTCCCCATGACGACCACAGTTCCAAAAGAGTTGGCATTTCAGATAGTGTGCCAGGAAGCATTAGCCACTGTGTATTCCTCAGAGCAGGCTGCATGGTGGGCTGCCATCTCCAGACATTGGGGGAAAAATGGTCTTGCTTAAATAATCATTTTATATACATATGATTATAATATATGTGTACATATATATGTAATTATATGTATTATATGTAATATATATGGTTTCTAATATATATAAATGTTATTTATTAGCTCTCTTTTAATATGTGAGTTGCCATTAAGCACAGCTCAATGTGTTCTGCCATCTATGCCCCTTTGAAGAAAATCATTAATGATAAATACCATTTCTTGATTTCAATTTAGTCCTTAGTAAATGTCACGTCCTCTGTGGAACCTTCCTTTTTCTCCCCTACTACCCCACCATCCCACCCCTGCCACCAAATTACAGCAGATTCTTCTGCGGAATGCTCCCATTTCTTTTTTTGTGTCCTCTGGAATATTTATGGTTATTTGTTAGTATAAGTTTTTAGGTGTGATTGTTTGGTCAATGTCTGTCTCCTCAATTAAACTTTCAGCTTCTGTGAGAGCAGAAGCCCTTACGTTTTGCATACCACTGGTCCCTAGAGCCTAACAGAGTAAGTGCCAGGGTCATCTTAACTGAATACTGAATAGTGGATGAGTGGGTGGGTGAACTGTGTGAATGCCTGAATGCATTGACCCTGAAATAGCCTTGGTTTGTCTTTAAAACTGTGACTGTGGCCTCCTCATAGTTACCATTTGCTTGTGGTGAGGTGGGCAAACCATATTCATTTAATGCTTCCATTTGATCTCTATTCATTGTGGCTCAACATGTGCCTACATGACTCTGTTCTGGTGATACTGAGATGAGTAGGACTGGTTATGTACTAAAGGAGTTGCTGGTTTACTGGGAGAAAAGGAATAGTGAACAGGCAAAGATAATTACTTTGTTAGATATAAGATGAGTGTATGTCCAGGTTGGCGCTTGGAGGAGGGGCTTTGGACCAGAATGTCCTGCATTGGAAAAGTGAAAATCTTAGCTGACCTGTGAAGCTAACTAGGAGTTAGATGCATAGTAGAGAATATCATACCAGAAACAAATGGAAGTGAGGAATTGAGACCAAATAAATGAAACTTCAAATGATTACTATTGCAGAATGAAGAAAGCAATTGTGGGAGTGTAGGAGGGGAAACAGGTGGGTGCTGCCTTTTCATGAAGGGTCACTGGAAGGGGTTTAATCATGGGTTGATATAACATTTTCATTTATAAAGTTTGCTCTGGAAAAAATATGGAGAATGGGTTGGAATGTTAGGGTTTATAAGGAAGATATATATATCTTCCTTATAATATATATATATATATATATATATATATATATATATATATATATATAGAGAGAGAGAGAGAGAGAGAGAGAGAGAGAGAGAGATAGGAGCAGTTTATTACACAGTGTGATAAGATATACTCCATGCTCTGGAAGCTCAGAAAAGGAATACCAAAGTGGAGTCCCAGGTTAGGCTAAAGGAAGAGTTTGAAACATTAAGGAGAAGAACTGGGAAGAATATTCCAAACTGCTGGGGTTAGGTCAGAGGCACAGAATGTGCAAGAGCATGCCATTTATTCCAGAGAAACTCAATGAATCTTTTATTGATGGAATGTAAAATATTAAGGGTGACTTGATGAGAAATAAAGCTAAAAAGGAATACATCCAGTACTTAAGTCTTCCTCCTTTTAAAAATGGTTTTAGACTAAAGTATTTTTGTTAGTTATGTATATGAGGCACTTTTTAAAGACATTTTTATTACAGAGAATTTTGAACAGGTACAAAAGTAGACATAATAGTACAATGGACACCTATCAACCCATTTGTCATCCCAGCAACTGACAAAGCAAAACAGTCCTGTCCTATTCAAAATGCCATTCACTTTCTTTCCCGTATTATTTTGAAATAAATTCAAAATATCACATCATATGACACCAAAATATTTTAATATATATCTAAATGACAAGGAGCAATACTTAACTACAACTAACAATGTCATTTCTAAAACATAATAATTCAATTTAATCAAATAGATAATCAGTATTATAATTTCTACTTTTCTCATAAATGTCACATAAGTATAAATATAAATGTAAATATTCATATATAGAATTTGTTTGATCAGGATCCAAATAAAGGGCTGAGGCTCTTCTGAAAGTGAAAGAAGGAGCTACTGGTAAATAACAGGTATACATAGAGACCTTTGCTTTATTTATTTACTTATTTAATTTTTTTTTAGTTGTATGTAGTTGGACACAATGCCTTTATTTTATTTATTTTTATGTGGTGCTGAGAATCAAACCCAGTGCCTCACACGTGCTAGACGAGTGCTCTACCACTGAGCCCACAACCCCAGCCCAGACATTTGCTTTAAACAGGGGTTCATAATTACTTTGGTTTAGTTCACTTTCTCAGCACTACTGCAGCTAGCTAGACAGGTGTTTTGCAAAATATGAAGGAAATATAGTTCATGTTGTAACTTTTACTTTCCTGTCATTTTCCTAGGTCTCTCTGCTCCCTGGTATGCAAATGGACATACTCAGCTGAGAAAGGTTGGGATGACAGTTTCTGGAAGATGATTGGTTTGGAAGACTTTGTTGCTGATAATTACAACAAAATAGGTAAAACAATAGAAAATTTGGAAAATGGCCATTTGTATGTACAAGTATGAATATTGGTGAATTTTGTATTTGTTTGTTTGGGTACCGGTTTGGTTTTGTTTGAATTAAAATGTAGGAAGTCAACTCAGTTTTTTTGAGTTGTCTCAACTGAGTCAGTTATGATGGGTAGGTCGTGATGTAGGCCCTCATATTAGGACTTGCATGAATCAAGTGGAGATGCATAGTATATTTCCAGGGAGTAGAAGAGAAATAGTTGAGAGTTAGGTTCAAGAAACAAGTCAAGGCTATTGAAAAGATCAAAATTAGACAAATCAGGGGGAAAAAAACAGAAAATAGAATGTGAACAAGCACTTGCTGAGCAAACCTTTTGAGTCCCAGGCTTCCAGTTCTGTGTGTCACTAACTGTATGGCACAGGTGTGAGTGACTAAGGTGTTTGCCCGGTAAAAAAAATTTCACCTACGTACATGATAATGATAGTTGAGATTTAAAGTTTGAGGTTTACAAGGTAATTTCACAGTTAGTAGGTAGTAATTGCAATTACTTAAAATTCTAGTAAGCTGTCATCAGGTAAGCAATTATTCCTCGTTATGAATTGTTTAGCATACAGGCTAAAGTATTGTAACAATAAGGGTAGAAAGGATAGGAGGTCATTTCTGTCTTATGTAATAGAGCAGAGGTAAGTAGCTATTAGTGCAGTTCTGCCATTGTCCAAGCAGGACCTCCAACAGTAAGTCCAAACTAACTGCTTCAGCTCTTATCCATTCCCAGCCAGTGAGAAAGAAGAATAGAGACCAGGGGAATTATGTTCAGTCTTCTGAGGGCAGCATAACCTCCTATCTGACCACTTCCTGTTGACCAGCATTCATTCAGAAGGTCCCGGTGGGCTGTAGAAGCGGCTGGAAAATGTAGTGATTGACTAGATGTGTCCATCTATGTGACCACTAAATCTTGAAAGTTGTACTGTTAAGTATTGACAAACTAGTAGTGTCTGTTACAATTTCTGACCACCTTGATTTCTGAGTCAGTTATTTCATTTCAATCTACCTATCTTGGGTAGAATCCCAGGACTACTCTATGAAAATTCAAGTACACAGAATAGAAACAAAGGATGCAAGTAGCATGTACCCTGCTGATTCTGGTATGTTGTCTATGATTTATTCAACTAATAATAGCTACATCTAGAGAAAAGAACAGAGCCAGGGAGGTATGCAGAAAGAATTCTGCTAGAATTTCTGTGGCTTTGTTGAAACCATCACAGGATCTGAGGTGGTAAAACGGGGGAGGTGCTTACAACAAGGGAAGAGAGGAGGGAAGCAAACAGCAGTCATTAGTCACCAGTTACATTCCATGTTGTTAGGTGATTTATGTACATTACCTTGGTTGGCCCCCACAAATCTATTTGTTTCATGATTCCCATGATAGATGGGGAAATTGAGGTCCAGCTCTTTACCCACTATTAAGATGCCAGGTCTGACTCTTCCATGGGACATACTAGACTACGGGAATGGATGTGGCTATGTGGCTGGCCTCCACTGGGATTAGGCAGTAGTCTGATATGCAGTACCCAGAGCCAACTTGAGCTAGACTGGGACAAGTGTCCATGCCTGAACTGGGGAGGAGTACAGTTGGGTTGCAGTGTGATCAGTTAATGCAACTTTGCAGAGCATAATAAAGTATCAATAATTTAAATCATATGGTGGTTTGTCTTAAAGTGCTCCATGTTGATACCATTTGGAGCCAGAAACTGGGAAAGCAGCTGAGAAATAGGGCCAAACATTTACCTTCCTGGTATCTGGGGATACTGTCCATTATTGGTGTGTCAGGACTCCTGCCAATCAGAGTAGCAGTTTAAACTGCTTCACTCCCAGCAAGGTAACTGAACATCCAAACAGGAAAGAGATGCCAAGCCTTTGGAGGACAGAACTGTCCTTACGCCTGAGTGTATTGGCATAAAGATGTTGTTGATAGAGTCTGTTGAGAGCTGGGGTTGTGGCTCAGCGGTAGAGCGCTTGCCTAGCATGTTAGAGGCCCTGGGTTCAATCCTCAGAACCAAAAAAAATTTTAAAAAGAGTCTGCTGACTGAATGTGCATGGTTAAACACAATAATTTGGACTAATCGATAACAAGAATTAAGAGAATCAGCAGCAAAGAGATCCCAGTGCCTCAGTCTGCTAGGCCTACCATAGTGAAATACCATAACCTCCATGACTTAAATAACAGAAACCTACTTCTCACACTTCTGGATTCTGGGAAGTTCAAAATAAAGGTGCTGACAAGATAGGTTTCATCCTGAGTCCTCTTCTCTTGGCCTGTAGGTGGTTGCCATCTCTGTGTGTGCCCACTTGTCCTTTTTGTGCATCAGGGTAGGGAATGAGCTCTGGTGTCTTTTCTCAATAGGATGCTAATTCTATTGGATCAGAGCCCCACTCTTATGACCTCATTTAATCCTAATTACCTTCTTATAGGCCCTGTTTTTTACAGTCATCACATCAGGGGATATGGCTTTCAACATCTGAATTTGGGGTCACAGTCCAGTCAATCACATCCAGGCACTGATGCTTTAGTGGCTAAAATGGGCCTCTAAGTCCTTAGAACCCAATGTGATTGTCTGAAGGCTCTCTGTGAGCTCCCAGCCTTGACGAAGAACTGTTAGACCCCAGCTGGGGAAAGGGATTTCTGGCCTGGAATGGAAAGCAAATTGGAGCTAACACACTGAACCTGGGAGCTAAGTACCAATGGTCTTAACAAGTCTCAGAATGTTGCTTTACCTCCACTGTCCTGTCTGGTAGCAATTAAAAAATAGCTTACCATGAGCCTGGGGTTGTAGTTCAGTGGTAGAACACTTGCCTAAGAGTGAGTAAATGCTGATTTTCCCTTCCCTTCTGGGTTCTACATACTTGTCTCATGTAGTTCTTACACCTACTGACCAAAGCATTGTTAGCCTATTGACAGAGGAGGCTCAGAGAGACTTACCTTCTCTAAGCTTGCATAGAACCAACAAGTGATGTCAGGATTGAAACCTTCCTAATGTGAGGACCTAGAAGAAACTAATATTTTACTGGAACACACTTTTCCATTTTAATTAGTTAAGTGATTTTTAAAGTTAGTATGTCCCCCAAAGTTACTTGTTCTTCCCTGAGTTTCCTGAGTCGTGTTAGATATTAGCTTTAGAATAGTACTGGAAATGCTTAACACCTTGATTACCTATTTATATATCTTGATTCCATACTGGACTGTGAGCTCTTCAGCACAAGAATTTTCATTTATTTACATTTGTCTTTCCAGTACTAGCAGAAGGCATGACATATTTTTATAGCTAAATTACTACTTGATTGGTAAGTGGATAAATTTATGAGCAAGATCTTCTTGCTTTTAAAAGTTGTGATGAGGGTACTTAATGGCTTCAGCAATCTTTGACAACTTGGGCCTCAAGTCATCTCCTTTTCTGATTATTTTAACATTTTTCTCTTCTTCGTTTCCCCATCTTACATAAGGTACATGTTTCATTAGTATATTAGTTCTGCTAATAGAGCAATACCTACAGAAATTTTCATTTAAAGTCCATAATGTTAATTTAGCAGAAAATTTCCAGGGTAACTTTATTAGATTTTGCCTGTTAAGTTAATGGGTTTTTAATGGATGTGCAAAGGAGACATCATTAACCAGAATATTGCCAAACATGAATTAAAACTCATCCATTCGTCAAAATTAACTGTGGGAAGCTTCCTTTGATTTCCATTTCCGGGCACTTGAGCTTGGAGTTTCGGTCTGAACCTGAGGCAGAAGACATTTACTCTCAGTTGTGACTTTCAGAAACTCCTCTGGAAGCCACCTCCAGACATTCTTCAACAGTTCTTGGAACTATGAAAAATGAATCTCGGAAGTCTCCCTGTAAAGTGTTAAGCATTTTCAGTGGCCTCATTGCCCGTCAAGATGTGGGCAGTATAGCACAAAACCTTTTAACAGATTTGAGCATTGAGCGTCATGGATTTGAGCATTAATATAATTACCATAATTTGCTCCACATGGAGCTTTTAGCCAAGTCTTTACCAGTCTTCCTCGGCTCATGCAGTAAATAAATGCTTTCCCCGAAAACTGAACACCTCAGCAACTGATGGTCTTATGGAGGAATATTTTTGAAATAAATTATTTATGAAGTGTAAGTTAAGGATCAAATGCAATATTTATATGGTGCATTTCAAGGACGAAGGGAATATTTACAATGTTTTAAGTAACTACATGCAAGTCTCCAAAGCTGAAATACTCCTACCTAATGTCTTCTTTCAAGGAGGTATTTGGATGGTTTCTTTGGAACATTATACAAAATATGGAAAAATAATTTTGTGATTTAAAAGAGTATAATAGAAAAGTTTCCTTACAATCAAAACTACACTAGTTGATTTAATGTTCAAAATTGTTGGGGAAACCCAAACCCAGTTTTTTCCCCCCATAGGAGATTATTTACCCATAGTCTAGTAAAATGATATGTGTCAATAAATTTTGACCTTCAATTTCACATGAATCATTCCCAGGTTACCTATCTAATCCTAAACATCTATCAGAGGCAAACAGGAAGGAAGAGATCAGCAGGGAGAAAGACTCTTAGGAAGATAAGCAACATTCCACCTGTGCTAATCGACTATCCAGGCTCCCTTTCAGCATGTCCCAGTTGCCTTTTTACTTCCTGGGAAAAGTGCTTCCTTGTATTACTGGGGTAGGCCACTTTACGAAAATTCACATGTACAACATGACTGAATTATAGAGTGATTATTTGCATTACAGAGAGAGCTTTGTTATATAAAGGATTCAGTATATTAACTTATAGATCATTTATTATTTGAGATTAGGAAAGCTAGGCAAAGAACAAATGTGAGGTTCAAGTAGGAATTACTAACTCTTAAACTCAGAGGCAGAATGAAGACAAGGCATATAGGGAAGGAGAGGGTTCTTAAGAAGAAGGAGGCAGCCTTTTTTAAACTAGTTTTCTCTCCCCCTGCAA